AATAAAAAATAATTAAGTATTTAAATAAAGCGTCCCGGGCATGACGTTAAACTGCGACCTGGATGGACAGGACTCATAGCCATAGTGAATGCAACCTGTCTAGGGGAAGGCAACCCCAAAATCAAACCACTGTCCTTGCAGTTTAAAAAAGGTTGATCGTTGGGGCAGCACTCCTTCATCGGAAAAAAATATTTCGCTTTCAAACCCAAAACAGAAAGAAAACCGGACGGATCTAATCGGCAACAGGCGCGGAAACGGAACATGTTTTTTGGTACGTGGAATGTTCAAGGTTTGAGGACCAAGAAAAACGAAGTGGAGAATGAACTGAAAAAGCAAAATATCGATGTGGCAGTCCTCAGTGAAACTAAAATCAAAGGAAGTTGCAATGAACTTTCAGGAGATTTCGTGTATATCAACAGTGGAGTGGAAAAAAGTGAGAGAGCTAGAGCAGGGGTTGCAGTGGTGATTAACAAAAGATTGCGCAGGTATATTAAAAATTATGAATGTGTGAATGAAAGAATAATTAAACTTGAAATGGCATTATTTGGAGAAGAGGTTGTTATTTTTGGGATCTATGCTCCAACTGAAGATTCCAAGCAATCCATAAAAGACACGTTTTTCGATGATATCTGCGACTTGATAGAGCGAACGCCTGATCGTAAGATTGTTATCTGTTTGGGCGACTTCAACGGACGTGTTGGCAGCAAGTTCAACGATGAGACCGTGGGACGCTTTGGAGAAGAGGTAACTAACGATAACGGTGCAAGATTAATTAGTTTATGTGAGCAATTAAACATGAAAATATTAAATGGATTCTTCAAGCATAAAGAAATTCACAAATTCTCCTGGCACCAGCCCACTAAAGGTCTAAAATCAATCATAGATTATATAATCCTCAGGCGCACTACTAGGATAAAGGTGAACGATGTTAGAGTGATGAGAGGGGCGGAATGTGGTTCGGATCACTTTCTTTTAAAGAGTATTCTGAATTTTAAACCCCATAATCTTCTTAGAAACTCTCCTGTGACCAGAGGAATTTCAGACTCTCCGAAAACGATTCGATACTCAATTGAGAGTATGAAAAATCAAGAATCAGTAAAAGGACTGTTCCAAAGCCGACTGATGGAGAAATTGAATCATGAGAAAGATCTGAATGATCGGCTAAATTACGAAAATATAGTAAAGTGCCTGCATGCCGCAGCTTTAGAAGCTGTCGGAGAGGAAAGGAAAGAGGTTAGAGGAAAAAACAAGCCTTGGTGGAATGAGGATGCTGAAGTGGCTGTTCAAGAGAAAAAATATTTATACAATAAATGGTTGAGCTCTAAAAATGAGAAGGACCTGAGGGAATATAGAAATGCCTGTAAAAAAGTAAAAGCTATTAGAAGGAAGGCATTAAATATCTATTGGGAGAAAACCTGCAAGTATGTGGACACTTACATTGATGGACAAAAGTCTAGTGCTGCTTGGAGGACATTAAAAAAATTGAAAAATCCCAAAAGATGTGGAGATAACTTCCCATTGATCAAAGAGCAGCAATGGGTGAATTACTTTGAAGAATTATTTCATGAGGAGCGACCCGAATTCGCATGGAACCAATCCGATGAAATGATATCAAATAAGGAAGATATACCGCCAGTCACAATCATAGAACTGGACTCAGTTCTCAAAGGAATGAAAAATAGAAAATCTCCCGGCCCTGGTTCTATTCTAATTGAATTAATTAAAGCAGGCCCGACCGAACTCAAAATGGCACTGGCAGAAAGTATGACACTTCTGTTAAATGGTGGAGAGATCCCCGAAGAATGGAAACAGGGTTATATCACTCCAGTTTTCAAAAAAGGCCAAAAGAAAGACGTTTCCAACTACAGAGGTATTACTGTTACCAGCTCGCTGAGTAGATTATACGGCTGGATAATTAAAAGCAGAATTGAAAATGATTTAAAGGAAGAGATCAGCGAGGAACAGGCGGGTTTTCGAGCTGGAAGATCATGCACTGATCACATTTTTAGTGTCTCACAACTTATAGAAAAGAGGATGGCCCACGACCGTGAACTCCATATGATATTTGTAGATTTACACAGGGCCTATGATTCAGTACCTCTAGCGAAATTGTGGAAAGCTTTGGAAGCCACATCTATTAAGAGATACCTCATCAGAGCAATTCAAGAGCTCTATAAAAATATAAAGGGGGCTATAAAAATAGGAGATAGAGTGTCTAGAAGCTTCTTCATTAACAAAGGATTGAAACAGGGCTGCTGCCTTTCACCCCTGATTTTCAACATTTACATAGAACAAGCCCTTATTATGGGGGCGGGGTGGCCGAATAGGCTAAAGCGTGTGTAACAGCACTGCTAGTTGCCTGGCAACCGGATAACAGAGATTTGAGATGATATAAAAAGTACGAGTTCGCGTCCCGGTGCCGGAGGGGATTTTAAATTCCCCGCCCTCTCCCCCTGGCCCGGGAAAATCCCGTATAGCCTAAAAGGCGAGGTAGGGAAGAACAAAAAAAAAAAAAAAAAAAAAAAAAAAAGAACAAGCCCTTAAAAACTGGAAAAGATCGTGTTGTGGAATGGGTGTTCAAATCGGGAATGATGTCATCTACAATTTGCAGTATGCCGATGATCAAGTCATAATCGCATCGGATCCGGATGATGTTAGCTATATGATGAGGAAGTTGCTAGACACGTATTCCAGATGGGGTCTGAAAATCAGTGAAAGTAAAACAGAGTATATGGTTTTCAACGCTCCAAATTTGCCCCTTGAAATTGATGACTGGACGCTAAATGTCAGCCAGCGGTTCAAGTACCTCGGATACTGGCTATCTTAAAAGGGTGGTAGTGAGGTTGATATCGAACATAAAATAAATAATGGGAAAAGAATAATAAGTTCGATAAATTCAACCCTATGGAGGAAAGAGATACGATTAGAAACTAAAAAGAAGATATACCATTCCTTTGTAGAAAGCGTAGCCACTTACGGATCAGAAGTCTGGACACTGACAAAAAAGATGGAAAATAAGCTGCTTTCCATGGAAATAAATTTCTGGAGAAGAAGCTGTGGCATATCCAGAATCGAGCGGATCCAAAACGCAGCTATTAGAGACAAGGTCGGATGTCAAAAGAACATCCTTCACCTGATCGGGACCAAACGGTTAAAGTGGTATGGCCACTTAATGCGGATGGATGAGAACCGCTGGCCAAAGAAAATCTATAACTATATGCCACCTGAAAGAAGGAAGCGTGGAAGGCCAAAGAAGAAATGGACAGAGGAGGTGGAAGAAAGCATGGCAGCCAGAGGGCTTCGTGAGGGAGATTGGATGGACAGGGAGCAGTGGCTTTTGGGTGTTGGGGATATGACTCCTTAAGTTGTGCAAAACCCAAATAAAAAAAAAAAAAATTTAAATAAATATCAGATCTAGAGTTATTAAAGCACAATAAATGTATTTAAGATTTTAAAAACATGCTTTATACATCCATGAAATATTCTTATATTTCACTCCTTCTTTCACATAAGTGCTATGAAATAGCTTTTAAAAATGCCACTGCCTTGATTAGTTGGATTTAACTACTTTTTTTTCAAACTTAAAAATATTTTAAAAGTTTACATTTAATTCCTAATACATAAAATTTCATTTAATTTCCTTGAAAACATGTGATTTACGTTAAATATTATTAGTTTTTCAAACATTATTATTTATAATTTTTTTGCCACTCTCCGTTACCTTCTACAACTTTCTTTATTAGATATTGTTTTTTTCTAAAATTCTCCGCTTTCCAACAATATATCATACGCATGCCTTCTGACTTGTATTTCCGGAGATTCATTTTCAACCTTGATAAGCATTTTTATTCTTTTCTCCTTTATGCAATTATCAGATTCTTTCAAAAGTTTGATTCTAGCATTTTTTCGTACCTTTAATAATGAGAGATAGTTAATAATTTAAAATAAACCATATTAAAAGTACTTTAGAAGAAGACGCATATGAACATTGGGCATTTAAGCCCTGTAAAGTGACATCAACGGAGAAAAGACCTAAATGATATTAAAGAACGCTTAACTATCCAATGATACACCAAGTTTAATATTATAAACATATGCTTTATGCATCCATGAAATATGTTTATATTTCATTTCTTCTTTCACATAAGTACTATGATCAGTTTTTTATATGAATAGTTTTTTAAACAATGCCACTGCCTTGATTAAAATATGTGATTTCTGTTAAATAATATTAGTTTTCACAAATTATTATATATAATTTTTCGTCACTCTCCATTACTTTCTGCGACATTCTATATTAGATATTGTCTTTTCTAAAATTCTCTGCTTTCCAAAGATGTATTATACCTTCTGAATAGTATTTCCCGAAATTCATTTTCGAACTAAATAAACATTTTCCATTTTTTCTTCATTTTTCAATTATCAAATTCTTTCAAAAGTTATATTTAGTGTATCATGATACACCGAGTTTAATCAAAATCTTTAGAGCCGTTTTGATGAAAATTGATTGAAAAAAAAGATCATCCCTGAATTATATTTATATATAATCGAGGAACCCAATATTAATTTTTATATCATTATGCAAAATTAATTGTAATAAAGGAAAATCAATGAAAGGTGTAAATAAAATATGATGGCTGTATTGAATGTCAGTATACAATTTATTTTTGTAAATTCGTATTATTATTATGCACATTTATATTCATATAACATACTCAAATCATGGAGAAAACAAATTCATTCAATAAACATTCAAATTCAACATAAACATAATGTTTTTAAAATTTTAATATGGGGTTATACGAAATTTTCAACAAATCAGGAATACATTATACAATGACTGATAATTTTTCAATGAATAGACTTCAATTCAATGAATTTAGGATATGCAATATAATTTAGCATTCATATAATTGAAGAACCCAATATTAATTGTTATATCATTATACAAATAATAATAATTTAAAATATTTAAAAACCAAAGAAAAGTACAAATAAAATGAAATGACTGTTGCATTAAATATCAGTATAAAATCTATTATTGTTGTAAAACCATGCATTAATATTATGCACATTTATATTTATATAATGTAATCATAACACTCATAAAACAAATTTATTCAATATACAATTATAGTCAATAAAAACGAAATTTAAAACTATAACTTTTTTAAAAGTTAAATATTGCGTTCTATAAAATCTAAAACAAATCTGTGATACATGATCCTGTAAAAAAGGAGACAATTACTGTCAACTTTTGTAACACAGTTTTTCTGTGAACATGTGGTAAGGATCCGACATATTCCTCGAAGCCAAAAGTCGATAAAAACGAAATTTAAAACTATAACTTTTTTAAAATTTAAATATTGGGTTTTACAAAATTTTCAACATATCAGCGATACATGAACGTGAGAAAAATTATACAATGACTAATAATCGTTCAATGAATTTAGGATAAGTAATATAATTTAGCTTCCATATAATTGAGAAACCCAATATTAATTTAGTATATTATTATTATCAATATTAATTCAGTATACAAATAAAAATATATAAAAGCCAATGAAAAGTATAAATAAAATGAAATGACTATATTAACTATTAGTACAAAACCTATTCTCTTAAAACCATATGCATTAATATTATGCACATTTATATTTATATAACATAATCATAAAACAAATTTAATCAATAAACATTAATAGTCAATAAAAACGAAATTTAAAACTATAACTTTTTTAAAAGTTAAATATTGCGTTCTATAAAATCTACAACAAATCTGTGATACATGATCCTGTAAAAAAGGAGACAATTACTGTCAACTTTCGTAACACAGTTTTTCTGTGAACACGTGGTAAGGATCCGACATATTCCTTGAAGCCAAAAGTCGATAAAAACGAAATTTAAAACTATAAATTTTTTAAAATTTAAATATTGGGTTTTACAAAATTTCCAAGAAATCAGCGATACGTGAACATGAGAAAAATTATACAATGACTAATAATCGTTCAATGAATTTAGGATAAGTAATATAATTTAGCTTCCATATAATTGAGAAACCCAATATTAATTTAGAATATTAATTTAGTATATATTAGTACATTATTATTGTCAATATTAATTCTATAAAATCTAAAACAAATCTGTAATACATGATCCTGTAAAAAAGGAGACAATTACTGTCAACTTTTGTAACACACTTTTTCTGTGAACGTGTGGTAAGGATCCGACATATTCCTCGAAGCAACTCCTATACGTAGGGTTGCGAAGAGGAGGTCTGTTTGGTAGACGATTTGCTGCCTGTGGAAGGAAACAGAGAAATGTAAATTAGTTAATTTTAGAAAATATTTTATTAATATTAACTTAAAACAAACTTCAATACTCGGGCCTACTGTATATGATATTGTAATAATAATATCAGTTGAACAAAAAAGTAAATAAATACAGCCAAAAAGGTTGCTGAACATAATAAACGAATAATCGAGACTGGAATGGTCGAGTGTTAAGGCACCCTCTTACAACTCCGAGTCTAGTAATACAACATATATAACATCTATATAATCTATAATAAATAATATCATATCATTTATTTATAATATCATATTTATTTATTATCATATTCTGACAATTCAACCTAAAATATTAAAACGTAAAATAATGTGTAGTTTATTGATTCAGATTTGCTAGAAAATCAACACCTGATCGATTATATACTTTCACAGAAAAATATGCGATTTTTTTTTTTTGATTGATTATTGGCCAAAGGTTACCAATTACTATTCTAAACCTTTATAATTATTATAGTGTAACTCAGTATATAAAAAATAAATTTAGATAATGTTGGTTTACATTGATGCAATTTCCTATCATACACCATTTTAAAAATTCCGTATTCCAGGCAACTTCAATGCGATTTCTAAAATTAAATATAGAACTTAACGTAATATTAATTTTATTTCTTAAAAAATATAATATAGTATTTAGGTGATTATAACTTGGACAATCTGTATAAAGAAGATGGTCCGGGGTGGCGGTCCTAAAAAGGCTAAATAGTAGTAAAACTATTTTATTAAAAGCCTACATTTCGACCCGACTTTGCAGGTCTTCTTCAGGGCAAGATACAAAGAGATATAGAAAATTGTGGAAGTTACATGATATTTAAACAAAAAATTATAAACAATGTGAATAAGCTTATTAAAATTATAAAGAGTAATTACATTAAAATATAAACGGAGTAAGCTAAGTAACAAGATCCTAAATTGAAGTAAATAGATGCTAACAATTGTTGCAGTGTAATATATAATATATGCAAATGTGAATATACTCTTACATATCTACAGGAGAGATTGAAAGAAAAGGAAAAAGGATATAATATGGAATGTGGAGAAAGAAAACCAAAAAATTAAATAAATAAGTATCTAAAATTAAATATTTTTTTTAAAAGACTATGTTCTAAATATTTATCACCCATGATATGTAGAACAATCGACTAGTTCCTTCAATAAAGAAGGACTGTTACTTAGTCAAAGGTTGTGCAAGGACCAAAATCACGGTCAACCGCCAGGTTTTTATTAATTAGTTATTTACTTTATAGAGGCTGGATCTTCCTTCATAGGAGGATCTTCCTAACCCAGAATCGATACACGGCTTTAATTAAGATTCAATAGACTTATGATAAAAAATAATGACAAACCCTTTTATATGTGAAGCATAAATAAATCAAACGCATAATTTTCTGATTTTAAAAAGGCATATTTCATCAATATTCTTTGTCATTCAGTTTATGAAATGTCACTTAATGACTTTTAACAATAAATCGAGTGTATCATTGATTGTAATGTGAGACCGCTTAAGTACAAGTTTTAACCATGGATTATTTGATAATTTATAATTTTACGAACATTAATTGATATTTTTTTCTACTCAATAATATTGCATGCACATGTCGGTACTGACTATTTAAAAAAAAAAATCTAAAAATGATTTTTTTTTTCGATTATATGTTATCGGCATGCAATTGTTGATAGGGACTGGGATTTTAGTATTTAAAATTAAATTTAAACTTACGATTCTATAGTTCTCCAGTCTTAACAACATTATATATAACCTATGTTGAGTGAAGTTGTCAAAAAGTCTATCCAGGACTCGTATCTCTCGTATTGCCTTAAGGCGTACCGATAATGGTTGAGCCTCAAGAATCATTCCGGTGAAGTTTGCAAGATAAAGAATGTTTCCCTCTTCCATATGGGGATCCCTGAAAATATCATTAACATGTAACTATGCATAAATATTGACACTTTTATGAATAATTATTACTAAATATTATTTTAAACACGAATTAAAATTAATATTATATAATAATACATATACAATCAGAAATATAAAATATAAAACTTGCCAAAATTTGGCGAAGTCACGAGTTGTATACTTACATAGTTACTCCACAGGTGTCTTTTGCAGACTGAAGGATGGAAGGGCTTCTTGAAAGGTCTTAGTACCTAGGGAGGTGGAAGAGAGTACTAGTAAATGAGCAAGACTACCGTGCTGCCCTCTCACCACAACTCTATAAATTGTATATTTGTCTTTTTTGACTATATATTTAATACAAGTCAATGTCCCACAAAAAAAAAATGTACCCACTGCTCCAAAATTGCGTCCAAATATGACGGACTGCGTACTTTGACTTGAGTTAGATTTTTTTGGTCTCTGAGATAGTTTAATTTCGTCATAATTGGTCTTTTATTAAAGGCGGATGGTCAGAAAATAATAAGAAATTAAAAAACATAAAAAAATAATTGCCATTATATATAAAAGTTCAGGAAAAAGAAAATTGAAAATCAAGCGTTGTTTGTCATTAAACGGCCAACAATAACGGAAAACGTCTAGAAATAAAACATCTGGAAAATACACGTTTCTCTCTAAAGCACTGATAACTTTTTAACATATTTTAAGCGGTTCTGTAGAAAATGTATTTAATCGGCGGAAAAGCTGTACTGACGTAGGTGCCAAATAATCCAGTGCTCAATCATAAACGGCATAGTTATAGTACTATATTAACGTTGTTAGAATACTATTTTGATTTTATTAACAAAAAATATTGATGCAATAATTTAATACAAGGAACGCGAAATTGGTGTAACTATTTATAGGGATGTGGAGGTGCACGGTAGGGGGGTCCGGCCCACCGTGTATACCATTTTGGATTAGACCAATGAAAAGTCAAAGCGTGAGCAGGTACTTCTAACAGATAAAATTTCTATGACGTTTCAAATCATATCAAAATATACACAAAAGATATCATTAATTCGGTCGCCTTTAAGAATAATTTTACTTAACTAGTTGGCCCGTGCGAAAAATTCGCACAGCATATTGTTATCAAATGCCAAATTAATAAGAAAATAAAATAATGCAACGTATCAAAAGATAAAGGAATCAATTGTTACTTTATCGATAAATATAATCCACAAAGGAAACAAAATAAATTTAAATCTTCATTTTTGTTTGGAACCAACATATTTACAAATTTCAATAAGCTGCATCTTTGCGAAAAATTGACCGATTTCAATGGGTTTTTTTTTCTCGTTTTGTAGACAATTTAGTAATGTTTTATATAATCATGGGAATAACGAAGGGAAAAGTTTGTAATTTATTAGTTATTCGCAAATAAAGTTTCTTTTCTTTCATAACTTGTTTGCCTGAATTTTCGGGATGATTGGACTATTTTGCCCGCCTGAAGGAGAAGGAAGCCTTCGAAATTGGTGGTTTAATCTGGAGATTTGGTGAAGAATTATAGATGATATGGCTTGCCGATCAAAATCACCATCGATAAATAATATAAACTCCTCCTATCTCGATCATAGAGACCTCAAGTCGACGAAATGAGACATGTATCCAATGTCAGTACTACAATTAACGTCAGGTTGTGTGGGTGCGAACCTCATGCTTTGCGTTATCTGGAAAATAGTACGTTTTGAGGCTTAAAAACGCAGGATCCGATAGTTCCGGAGGAACTATCACGGTCTTGCTGTACGCATCAAAATCTTCAAGGTACAATTTGTCCCGCATCGATCTACAGACCTATCACTGTTCCAGTATTGAAGAATAGCAAAATGTTTGTATCGACTTTATTTATTTTAGAAAGAAAAACAAAAGTGGAGAATACGATTCGCTAACCCCCTGTGAAATTCTGAATCCAACGGTACCCCATTTATGGTATTTGAGCATGACAGGAGCTTATATTTGGTACAAAACCGATTTCGAGCCTTACTGTAATAATATATTTGAGGATTATTATATCTAGGCTTTTCTTTTTTATTAAAATTATATATATATTCTTTAAATTTTTAATTTCATATTGTATATAGGTTTTCTTTGAGTCTTTATTCATCGTTTTGTCTGTTATAAACACGCATATTTCCCTTTAATACAGATCTGAGAGAATAGGAAGCGAAAACTAAAAAAATACTTAATTTAAGAAATTACCAATAGCATCGCAATAAACTAGACAAAATTTATTTTAAATAAAAATGGAGTATGTCATTTTTAAAAACACTTAAAAAAATCATCAATTATTGGCAATTTTATTTCATCATCATCCAAGTATACTACAGAAACTCCACTTTAAGAAAAACTTTCTCATTAATAAGCTTAAGTCCATATAAATTAAGTTGGGGTATATTTGGCAAAAACTTGATATTCATCTAAGGTAGTGTACAAAAATGTTGTGATTTTATTACTTGTCACCTAAAACTTTTAACACAATTAACAACATATTGTAAAAGGAAGAATATAATACTATTTATAAAAATAAAATGACATATACAGCAAATCTATTTTGTTTTAAATGAATAATTTAATAAATAAACTTTTTTAATAAATAAGAGTATTCATTAATAAGGTTACGTTAAAATATTTCTTTTTACTGTAAATTTAAGCGTATTCATTTTAGTAAACATGAATACTGCCGTATTCACTTTTACACCCGTGAATACGGCCGTATTTATATTTACAGCAGTGAAATCTTCTGTATTTATATTTCTTTTTATGAATTATAAATATATTCATATTTATATTCATTAGTACCATAGATATAAATGGTATTCGATTAATATTTTTCAATATAAATATGCCCATATGTGCCTAAAAGTATCCGTGTTTTCGTCAAAATCCATTGCAAAAAATTATTGCAAAGCTTTTAGATAACCTAGGGTGTATATTAATAAACATAAATGCATAATCACTCTTTTTATTTCCAAAAAAACTGTTAAAAATAATGATTTTTCAAATATTTTTCATGTTCAGAGGTTATGTAACTAAGTTTATCACCCAGATCGCTATTATAGGAATTGATCAATATTTATAAAGGACAAAATAAATGTTCCTGATCTTAATATTGACGTTTTAATGTAAATTTCTTTTGTCACTTATAAACACCCATGTATTGCTTTAATACAGATCTTTGAACGGAAAAATTGGGTAAGTCTATCCAATTATTGTAAAATAGCCTGGCAATACAGATATGCCTCAAAAGTGTGGCCAATCATTAACCATACAACGTGTTTTTGAAGAATGCCCTTTTTATACCTCAAGATTAAAAGATCTCGAAATACCCCAGAATCACTAGCGGATTCAAGATTTAATTTTGGGGGGGCTTCAGCCCGAAAGATTTTATTTCATTTGAAATTAAGTACCTATATGAAATGGTGTTTAAGTGGTTCTTGAAGTCCTATTAAAGGTAATTACTCGAACAAGAATTCTTAAAGAGATAGTTTTTAATATTTTTTTTCTGTAAAACATGGTTACATTTTACCATTTGGGGGGCGGGCTTCAACCCAAAAGCCCCCTCCTCCATAGATCCGCCCGTGCCCAGAATATATCAGTATTCCTGGAAAATCAAGAAGAAATCGTTTCCAAAGTTATCTAAGTTTCTAGATAATGAAAGACTTAAACAACATATATGACAAGTTTATAAATTATGACCCTTTGCATATTTATTATAACTTTTTATTATTTTTTTTTATTTATTTACTTTATTTCATTTTATTTTTTATTTTAAAAGTTTATTTGGTTATTAATCTCAACTCATTTATTGATTTTATTTCTATTTTTTTTTTTTTTTTTTTTTTTTTTTTGGTACACGATCATTTTTTTCTTTATTGAGTATTATAACAATCTGTCTGTTGGACATTGGTTATAGTGAGGTAGGATGACATTCACACTATATATATATATTTTTTTAAAGTTTATTTATTTATCTATTCTATATTATTATCTATACGTGTCTATTGTTATTTTTATTTATTTATTTCGTTCTATCAATCCTTCTATTTAATTTTGTTATTTATTTATTTAGTTATAGTTATTTATTTATTTAATTACGTTATTTTTATTTATTTCTTTCATTCTATCAATCCTGTTATTTAATTATTTATTTTTTTTCTTATTCTTTTTTTTTCTTCTCTTTTATTTTTATTCTTATATTTTGGACCAACCAACCAAACAGTATAAAAGTAGTGTTATTTAGTTGATTGGGCGCTGAGGACCTGGATGTTTTGCGCCTAGACATCGAAACAAACAAACAGATATGCTTTATGCCAAGAATTATTAGATGAATAATGTATAAGCTGGAAAAATTATTTAAGTAATTATATTAAAATATCTATATTAAAAATGTGTATGTATTTATATATGTGTAATTATATTTGTGCTATTAGGAGCTGATACATTGTATTTCGGTATTTGTTAGCATTAACATATTATGTTTTAGTTTATATTATTGTATTAATAATACTTATTTATCCAAGGGATGCCTCCAGCTGACGGTTTTAAGAACCAAGACGTATATATTTTTTATTGAGCTTGGATACTTTTGTTGTATGATATTTTATAAATACTCAATAAAAAATTCATTCATTCAATACAGATCTGGGTGAAACAAATGGATTCCATACTTTTCTGGAGAATATTGGCGCATTGTTTATATGAACTGTTTTTTTAAGAGACCTCTAGATCTACTTTTTTTGTCATCGCTCCCATCAAAATTCCTTTCTACTAATGGAACATTCTGTATGATATTATTTATTAATATTTACTGTTATTATTACTTTCACTTACGTATATATGTAATATATAATAAGTGTAAATATTGCGATCGAGAAAATTTTTGAATCTGAGTTTTCGACGGATTTATACGTTTTGAGGTACCCTAAGTCGAAATGACCAAGTCCCGAAAAATGGTCTGTGTGTCTGTGTGTT